ATTCTTTCACGAGATAAACAGGTAGCACACACCACTGTAGCTTTACGTCCTTCAAAACCTCGACGTTAGTGGAATTTAGTTGGTGTAGAACTATTTGTTTCATATTCACTATTAAGCGTCGCTGAAACTAGAGTAGGCGAAAACCTCCTTTCTAAGGAGAGGCCTATGTTCAGCAGTGGACTGTCACTGTCAAGCTGTTGATGATGATGATGAGTCTGGTTAATAATCTTTTCACTTAACGTCTGACAGCTTTTTCTAATAAAATAAAAATAATAATCACACACATCTCACACACGGCGGTCTGATCCCAAACTAGGCAGAGCCTGTACTATGGTAACCAGACTGCTGATAAACATACTTATATATATATCTAAATACATACATATTATTGATAAAGTACACTCAGACACAGAACAAATGACCGTGCTCATCACACAATTATTTGTTCTGGGTGGGAATCGAACCCGACCTCTCAAAATATTCTTATTAGACATTTTGACCCAATACTTAAGAGTTTATAAAATACTTGTAAAATCTTACACCACAGTTATCATCACACAATCTATCAAAATAACTTACACTTAAGCGGATGTCATCGGATATTTCAGATATTAAGCCCACGTAAAGGTATAACGTCAGCCCTGGCTTCAATTCTAAAATTTGCTTGCATTTTGAATACAGATATTCAATATAAGCACCAGTGGCAATGAAAACACAAACGTTCGTATCTAAGTTAACTACTACTAACTATTCTAACCGACGTCGAAAGTTGAGGGTGTTTTTTGAAACAATAAAATACTATATTGTTTCAAATCTACCACTACCACTAGTTTAAAATGTTGAATCAAAGATTAATAATATTCTTCGACGTTCGTTACAATACTGCACTCAACCACATTAAATGAATTTTCAAAAACTGTGCGGTTGCATGTGCTTTAAAACGGTGGCATTTTCATGAGAGCGTCCACAGCGGCGCCAGACGGACAGTTATTAATTACGTTGAAATTAGTTACTATAATCATAGGCACGTAGCGTGTGTATGTGTATGTGATAGACGTTAATAGAAGAAGGTCATAACTCGAACTAGTTACGTTACCTATTCACCAACGCAGGAAAATGCGCGCACTCACAATTATGTACACTATCCTCGATTCTTAACAACTTACTTAACAACACAATTTCAAATGTTATGCAATAACCACAACAGAAACCTTCGTGCGGCCAACAATCTCCTTCTACTGTGTCCTTCTCACACCACTGGATTTGTCGGCTCTTCGTTCTTCGTCCAGGCTGTCCTCTTGTGGAATGCGCTTCCTCTCGAAGTCAGGATGGCCACAAATCGGTACTCTTTTAGGACGAAAGCGAAAGAGCTTTTGCTAAGTGAAATGGAAGATTCAACGAGCTCTTAATTCATCGCCTAAAATTATTATATTTTTTTTATGATATATATGTATAAATAAATATGTATGTATGGTGTATGTACGTTTATATTTGTCAGTTTGTGGTATTTAGATGTATACACCAAATTCTAAGATAGTTGGTATTTAAGAAAGCCTTTGTCATTTATTACCCCCCCCCCCCCTATAAATGCACCTACCTCATTCTTTGTCAGCATAGCCCAATCGGTTGACTGGCAGAGAATGCCTTAGGCCTCAGTCCGCCAAAGCATGTATTTGTGCAAAAAGTCACATAATAAAATGAAATAAAAGTGCTATTGGACTTATGACCGCGGCCATATATACGAGTATAAATAGTTCAGGAATCGAATCACGTTGTTTTTTCCGAGCTTTGACCGAAATTCAGTTTCCAAAACCTATAATTACTTATATTCTTGAGTTTCTTATGAGAAATTATACCTCGATGACTGATTACGTACTTTAAATAAATACTATATTCTTTATGATTTATTTTCTTTCAAATGTATAGATTTCAGATGTTTGTCTGTACTTGCAGTATAAGACGATATTACTTGCCAAATTTCAGAGTTATAGGTCAACTAAAAGTACCCTATGAATTTTGATTCCCTTGAGAATGTCGACATATGCGTATTTTGCGGCATAAACGGCCGTATCTTTTTTTTCGTTAACTTAGAAGTTTGACGTACGTCGAACGTACACCTGAGAATATGGTTTTAATTTCCACCCGATACCTCATACGCTCCTGAGACAAAGGGTCTTGACAGACAGACGGTATTTCCTAACCGATACGACCTTCAAATCTTTAAGAAAGGGGCGTACTCCTTCCTAAAGGGCGGGCAACGCGTTTGTGACTCCTGAGTTGCAGACGTTCTTGGGCGGCGATGGTGACTTTCCATCAGGTGACCCGTCCGCTCGTCTGCCTCCTCTATCATTAAAAAAAAAAGACGGACAACAAAGTAGTCCTATAAGGGTGCCGTTTTTTCCTTTTGTTATTTATACAGAAATTAAGTTTATGTACATTAGTTTCTCATATTTCTTTTATTATTCATTTTATTTATTTAAGCAACAGCAACAAAAGCTATGTAGGCCTTTCAATGCTCAGACTCCTCAACAAGTATTATTACTTTGTTTGTAACACGTGATGTTGTCCCAAATAACTTTGGGTCATCGCAATATATTTTGTTCTTTTATTCATGGTTAGTGACCGCCATTTTACGTAAGGCTTATTTGTCCTTATTATCAGCCACGTTTACGTTACAATAGTGACATTTGTAGGTAAATACGACTGTTATACTGCTATGGGCACTAGACTTTGATATTTTATATCACTTAGATGGCAGCTAACAACATTAATCTAATTTTAATAGTAAAAAAATTAAGAGCGTTTAAACTGTGAACCAAAAGGTAAAAAAGATTTATTTTATAACCTCATGACTTAATCATCAGACCTTCGTATCGAGCCCACGACCTCCGTTTTTGCCGTCTCATACCACTAGACCAAACAGGCCAGATCATATACACATGTAGTAGAGTATAGCCCAAGCTCTAGAAGTTTACTAGCAGCCACTGGGTCCAACATAAGATCAGCTCCAAGATGCAAAAAAAAAGAAGTAGATTAATATTAACTTTCTAGATTTGTTTAAATAGTCAGGCACAAAGTTAAATTCTTTGCGCCTTTTGTTTTTGTTACGTGTGGAAACCCCCACGGGTCATCACTTCACCAGCGCTGAGGACAAAGTGTGTGTGTCTGACTCGAACCGATTAAACCACAAGAGTAAATACGAGAAAAACAAGTTCGCATTGCATGGGACTCGGAATACCCTAGCAAAGAAGCCACCGAGATGCATTGCGCCTACATCAATTCATTAATTTTTCCACCATGGGGGTGTTTTATTTTTTCTTTAAACTGCAATGGGACGAAACGCAAAGTATATTCTTCTAAGTAAAAGAATTGATTGTACTCAAACTGTAAGTAAATGTCTACTAAAAGCGGTAAGAAATTCTGAATACATTAAATGCTAAATTAAAAACAAATTTTGCTAACAACACGTTTCATTTTTTATTTTCCTTACAAGCGAAACATCTTATTTATTAAAGTTCGATCAGATTATTTATTCGTAAAACCTTACACACCGAAAAAACACGTTGAACAGAGAACAAAGAGTGTTGTACTCTGAATACAAGGTAACCACTACCATTTCGTTCGAAAATTCCTGCACGTCAAGGTACCTTGTAACAAAATTGAAAATTCTAGATTTTGGTCCAAAATAAAATATTACTAAATCCAATATGCTTTGTACAACAAAACCTGAGTCTGCCACTTTTATGTGATATGTAATTTTATGGGACATGAGAGTTCATGTGTTATAAAAAGGATACCAAGAATTTTTATATTAAATCCTGGGATAAAATTTTTATTTGCATGTAACAGTTACAAAATATAATACACATTTAATAAATTATAAATTACTTTTGCAGGCATAATGAGCTGAATACCTTACAGTTAATTATTAACCAAATTACAGGAGAAAGATGTTACATTTAAATGAGAATCAACATACTGTAGATTAAAAAAAAGAACCACAAAACAATACGTAATATGGCTCACTTAATTGTAGATTTTATCTGCGCCTAAAACCTTAATATGTACTTTGGGTATAGTTTTAAATTAAGTTTTAACTTTTATTTTCAGTTAAAATAAACTTATAGTGAAGGTGAAAAGAAAATGTACCCTTTTTGTTTTCGTGTATCTGTTAGACTGTCCTAGTGATAATAATTCGCATAGATACATCTATCTGTTTATTAAAAAGTTCGTTAGGAAAATGAAAATTAAGAAAATAGAATTTGCAATGTATCGTAGGAATACATGGAAATGAGACCCATAGCTAGTTGTGGGACAATGTTATTATATAAACTGTGTACACTGTACACTGGTAACATTATTAATGAGGTATTGTACTATTACCACACTTTGTTGGCCTGGTCTGTGTCACTTCCGAGTTAATTCGTTCTATATTTTTTTATTCGCAAGAAGGTCACTATTATTTGAGTAGGTACTTATAAAGACTTGTAATTACAAAATAAATAACATTAGAAATAATCGACACGGTGTCTATAGGCAGACATAGTGGTGCGCGTGCGTCGTTAGCTGTAGATGGTAGTCGTGCAATTGTGTCGTTTTTGGAGCGATATTAATCGACAATAGACGCACGCGACACCACAATACTTAAGGCTACCGCGCACTCGCGTTTTGTCGAACTGGGATAATACTTAAACATATTCTATTTAGTATTATTGTTATAGTTATAATTTTAGAGTGAATTTAATTATGTTAGAGTAGAGTTTAAGAAGACTAGAAAATAAAGACGTATCCTTCCAACCTTTGCTGCCATGGTGGTTTAGTAGCATACCTTGGTGTTGCGTTACTTGTATTCTATTATTTTGAAGTTAAGTTCTTTAGATATAATTATTACTGTGCAATATATGAGTGTGTATGTCTGTCGGTTGAGTGTCCTCAGATAAAAAATGTGTTAGTATACTTTAGAAGAGGCCACTTCGTCCCTGTCCCGTTGCCATGAACGTATGTCTGATGTGAGTGATATTATTGCCAATAATTCTGCACAAAAAGAGAACTTAACTCTGCGCGCAGCCGTCGCTCAGTTACAAACAGAAATAAGTGTTTGTTCTCAAAATTACCTAAGAAACGAGCTTAAAATATTAGGAATACTAGAAACACCAAATCGAAGCCTTGGTTACATCGCCTTGCTAGCAGCCCGCAAAATTGGTGTAGAGCTGAGTAACAATGACATCGATTGGATAGAGAGAGTCGGATCTAAACGACCGCCCCCAGAGATAAACCAAAGTAAACCTGAACAAAAACTACCTTGACCAGTCGTCGTCAGTTTACTTGGCAGGGACAAACATTATCTAATTCTGAAAGCTGCAAAAACGAGGCGCAATCGCACGACCACCGACTTGGAATTAAATGGACCAGATCTAAAGGTATCCTTTAATGAACGTCTTACAAAAGATAACCCCAATTTATTTCGTGCCGCTCTCATTAAATCCAAAGAACTGGGTTTCGCCCAAAGTTTCGTCAGTAATGCCGTCATCGACATCAGGAAATTTAATGGGAAACCAGGAACGTGCATTCAAAGGAGCTTCAACGACCTCGAAGGTATTATCGTCTCAAATAATAACAATAACCAAGGTCAAAATAATAAATACACACCCTCTTGTGGCCTTATTTGTGCTTTTTGCGTGATTGTTGATGTTGCTAAGTTTATAATCTTACTCTGTGTCATAACAATCCTAAATGCAAAAGCAAAGCTTACTAAAATAAGCCTATATTATCCTTTGCGCTATATATAATACAACAGTGATTAACATAACTTTAAATCAATTTTTTGGTTGTGGCATATCGAGATTTATTATTCGAATACGTTAATACTGTCATATCCTAAAAATATTACATTATTTATCCTTACCAACAATATTATTCTATATATATTCAATATTATACTATATTTAAAAAGTTTTTGCCGACGAGTGTTAATATTTGTTACAATGTATGTATGTTATTAATGTATTTTTCCTCATATGGCGTCTCAAAGCCAGTGTCCTATCAATTTGTTTTAAACTCAATCGATGAAATTAGGGACCAAAGCATACTTATTCGCATAGCTATCTGCACCCTTACTTTTGGCAATCAGTATTACCTTAATTTCTTAAAATATTTACTTAAGATTTTATCATCAGTTTATTATGGCTATGACTGACATAGGCGGAGAGCTAGATTCATTTGAAATCGATTGACATTTGATTAATGAGGTAGAACAATGTGAAGTGATATTAAAACCCTCTTATAATCTTAAGATACTTACAGTTAATATTAGGAGTATTACAAACTTTGACAATCTACTCATTGCCATCAAGCGTATGCCAGTCAACTTAGATATCCTATGCTTAACGGAATGCTGGTACAATACCACCGTCCCACTAATCGCTGGGTAGACTTCTTACAAAACTACTAAATTTATTCATCAAAACGGGGTGTGGTAGTCTACGTCAGTGACTTGTGAAACGCTGTCAGCAAAGAACCGATTCTCAAGACGCCAATAGTGTTATTATAGAAATACCCAATGTTGTTACAATTTTTGCAATATATCCTTCAGAAGAGCTGATAACTTCCTAAATTCGTTGGATACAAATCTTGCATTATATGACGACAGACGACCATTCATTTTGACAGGTGACATAAATATAAGTATCGAAAACATGTCTGACGAGCAATATTGTACAGAGTACTTGTGTTTTTGGCAGAGTATGGACTTTTACCTGCTATCACCAAACCTACTAGAGGTTCTTCTACAAAAGACCACTTCTTCGTAAGAACTAAAGACCCAGTAAAGGGTATATCAATTAGACCTTACAGGCCATGACCCTATTTTGCTAGGAATCAATAGATCTAAAATTCACACTGTTCGTCCTAATCGCGTTGTTTTAAAGAGGGATATTATAGCAATTGATAATAGTCTAAAAGAAATAAACTGGACAGAACAATTGGACCAAACCGACGTTGATAAGGCTGTAAAGGTATTTATGGACACACATGGATAAATATAACTTTAAACTATGGGGAACTCCTGGCTTAATGCGCTGCATGCAGCACAAAGATCGATTACACTTACGTGCAATAAATAACCCTAGTAACGCTTTAGCTCAATTAATCTACACCAAATACCGTAATTATTTTGTGGAACTAATAAGGAAGGTTAAGAAGGACTATTATAACAAGACACTTACACTTAACAAAGGACAAGCTCAAAAGTTGTGGAAGACCAATTAAGAAATATGTCATATCTCCACTAAGAATTCAGAAGCCAATCAATTGCTCTCCCTTCCTGGAACGAACCATTGGAAATAATCTCTGAACTTATGCAATGATCACTTCTCTACCGTCGGACAAAGACTAGCCAATTCAATATTATTGCTAAATAACACAGATGAGAATATACTAGCTGCTAATGAAACAACTATAAACACCCCACCTAACTATTTCTTTCTCGAACCTACAGACACTACAGAAGTGGAAGCTCTGATTATTAATCTAGATAACGATAAATCCCTCGGTATCGACAATCTAAGCAATAGCCTGGTTAAAGTTATAAAAATTCTATACTTGAACCACTTACCACTATTTTAAATATGAGCATAACTTCAGGAGATTCCCCAGTGACTACAAAACAGCTGTGGTTTGTCCAATTTTTAAAGCCGGTGATGCATACTCTCCAGAAAATGACCGCCCAATCTCTCTTCTAGGAGTCTTCTCAAAACTTCTAGAGAAAATAATAAACAAGAGACTTAAGAAATAATCTACCTACAATTATCATATTGCTTCCAAATTCTGTAAAATCCGTCTGAATACAGTACCAGAGACAAACATAAAAACTTATGAATGGTTAAGTATGCTCACAAATAAAGAGACAGAAAAGTTATTAACTACTACAGCATAAAATATATTTTTATATTGAGTTATTTATAATATTTAAAAGTACATTTTATTAATAGTTTTCCTTGTGGATTATATTAATATATAATTTGTATATGTTATTATATATATTATGATATAATTAGTCTCTAATTTAAGAGGGATCTCTTAATTTTAAGTATAATTTTTAAGCATTTCTTTTGGTTAAATTGTCTTATTATTTTATTTTAGATACCTTATCAACGTTTTTATTGTTTTTCTATCTTTCTATTATGTTCAAAATTGTGACGTGCAGCAGCTCTATACCTAAATGTAAATACGTTTGGCTGGGACCCCACGATACAGGCTTGCCTAGTGTGGGAAACAGGTTAAATATTTATCTGATAAGATCTGCTACACTTATTTTATGTCTTGTGCGCTAAGCACTTTAGTATTTTATTTTCTTTGTGTTTCTATATAAATATATTTTCATTTTTTTTAATTTATTAAATAGGTTAACTAAACGGAAAAGGTGTGGGCTATATCTGAATTTGGGTAGTTTTGGACGAGCTGTTAGGTCCATGCCTGAATATTGGATTAACATTGCTCTAAATAAACCTCCTTTCTAAGGAGAGGCCTATGTCCAGCAGTGGACTATTAAAGGCTGTATATGTTTATGTGATGAGTTGCTTTAAATTTGTTCTGTACTTTTTGTATAAGTGCCTGTATCATAGTGTTTTGATTTGCTATGGCTAAGGTCTCAATATCATTTTCTAATAAAAAGGTCACCGATTCAGTTTGTGTTGATATCTGTAATTTTTGCGTATTTACTTGTGACCGATGGGATTGAGAGTATTCTTGTGCTTGTGTACTTAGTGACAATTGAGTTTCTATATGTGGTATATCATTTGAATCACTTTCGGTTATACTTTGTAATTGCTATTGAACACGACAACAACCCATCTAAATGATGCCAGCTCTGCATTAATTTGGGGCATTTCGTTGAAATATGGAACGTTTTGTTGTATGTTATAAATGGCGTCAAATTACAAAAAAAAATATTTATTTACAACTTAATGCACATATTGTACAAAGGCGGACTCAATGCCATGAGGCGAATTCGCCTCATGGCATTGAGTCCGCCTTTGTACAATATGAGAAGACAAGAGACAATTTTGTACAATATGAGAAGAGAAGAGAATTCTCCCAGTCGATTTTCAGGTGATGTAGGTGAATATGTAGGTAAATATGTTTTTTTTATTAACGGAGTTATCGATAAATCGACGGAATCGAACCGACTAAAATTACAAAGAATGCCATACTGCTACTGAAATGAGTAGGACCAGAGGACAGTTTTTATTAAGATGTACAGAATCACAATATACCCATTACTTTTATGCCTGTGGAAACCTAATCGAGGCAAAAACCTGCAGTGGGGTGGTGTGTCAGAATAAAACCAACCAATTAACGCGGTTTACCATACTCCACCTAAAATAGGAGGAATCCAGTAAAAACTTTTATCAAGACGGATGTCTTAATAAAAGTGTTTACCGGATCCCTCCTAGTATATTCGCCCGCAAAAGTCGTGGTTTCTGTATAATTTCTCAGCTAGACAACATCCAGGTACACGTGGACGTCGCCTCCTCGCGGATACGTCCAACCTCGCAGCTTTCAGGTAGGCATGAGACTCTGGAAGGGTGTCTCGGCCGCCCGGTTTGCCGGTGGCGAATGGGTGACTGAGGATCTTTCTTCTAGGCCCTCTCACAGGAGGCTGTGAGGACGTCATCCTGAGAGACCGCATCCTTATGCGGCTGCAATAAAATATCTTAAATATTTTACAACTTCACAAAAAAACCCTTACAACCCCCCCTACCCCAGGATCCCCTGGAGAAATTGGTGGGGCACGCGTTCGTAGATGGCGCTATCTGTACTAACTATAGTTCGCGGCTTCTAATTTGTTTGTTTATTTATTGTTTCTAACTTTGAAAAGTAGGAACTGCCATAGAAGCGTTCATCCCTTTTTTTACCCTTTTAGTGGTAAAATTTCCTAAAAACCCTTCTTAGTAGACGCTTACAACATGAAAAGCATCAGTTGCCAAAATTTGAAGTTTGTAGCGTGAGCGGTTTAAGCTTTGCGTTGATGAATCAATCAGTCGGTCGGGGCAAGTGATTTCATATATACATATGATAGAATTACACTACACCTTAGATTAACCTTTTTATCCTTTCGGCAGTAAAATGTCTTGAATATGCGTTGGTCATTAACCAACCAAGTGGAGTTGATTAAGGAAGTCGTTATCGGAGGCAAAGACAATACTAACAATGGCTGCCACGAGCTACAAATGAACGAGAAATAATATACATTAAAACAATTTACTCGTTGCTTATACATTACTATTAGTTTCGTTGATAACAACTT